TATAGCATGAATTCAAATACTAGATGATAATAATAATAATAATAATAATAAATGCCTTCATTTCCATGATAACCTACAGTCTAACAACAATTCTTACAACAGTTCGGAAATCTCAAGAGGGAGTTCACTACTTAGTGCTCTTCCACTCAACCCTTGTCATGTTCAATTAAATAATTTTTTCCGTCGACCTCGTATTAACGACTAAGTTTAATGTATATGAAATCGTTCATTAATGACCCCTATTAATGAACGATTTGTCTATTAATGTACGATTGTTTTATAGGCAACCAAACATACACCGCGTGCATTCATTGTTTATGCTATAACTTACGTAATCTGCATTTAAATCGAAAATATGGATTTCATTGAAGATTTTTTGTCAACGGGTTCACCTATCCAAGTTTCTGACATGATTTTAATTCCTATTTTCTAACACAAGGAATTTATTTTCTATGTTGATCATTTCGACAAATGTCAAATGTCACTAATGTCAGTAACAAGGCTACTGGGTGATTTTTAGCAGTTTCCGGATGAATGATGAATTCGCGAACCAAGTTTTCTTCATTACAGGAGAAATGAGAAATATAGTCGACGGAAACATTTTGTAACCAACTTGTATATTGAAAGGCGATCAATGATCTCGAACATTAACGCGCTCGCTTCGCTCGCACGTTAAAATATCTCGATCATTAATCGCCCTCATTAATAAACTAGTTGGTTAAATAACTATTAATAATTGTCATACTAACCTGATCTAAAACTATACCTGAACGGTAAACGTTAGAGGAGATTATAAAATGAGAGAAGGTGATGATATAATATCAATAATAATAATAATTATAATAATATTAACGATAATAAAAATATTGATAAAAAGAAAATAATTGAACATTATTCATACATGTATATATATAAATGTGTACAGGAAAGTAACGCATCTGAACACCATAATCAAGGAGACATTAGATGATTTTTCAAATGTGACGTAATCACTCGCTCGAATTTAGGCAAATTGAAATACTTATAGAGAGATGGCACGGCGTTATATAACTTATAGATGTTGAATCTGAAACCTCTTTCGGAAAACTTTGTACTATATGAGTTGGACATGTGAGCAAGTTCTTAGATCTAATGTTGACATTGTGAACATCACTTCGATAATTAATCTTTTTTGCTAGGTAAGGAGGCTGTTGCGTTGTGATCATTTTATGGTACAAACATAGAGATAAAACTTCTCGACGTTCCATCATATTCAGCCATCCCCGAATTGGGATGAGCCTCATGAGGACTGTATTTATCTTCATTAGTATAAAAAACATTTTATTGGATCTATAGCAATTCTGCAGTCTCTTTCATATTTCCTCGTATAAGTCTCATGAAAAGTTACTGTATTTATTCATCTCACAATTGTATATCCATCGTCAAGAATAAATATTGATTTCATACTTCTGGAACTACTAACGAAAATGCATCAATTTGATTAAAAACGCGTACCTTCATTATATAGCCTTCGATCCGAGAAATTACAAAACCATTTCGAGGTCATACACCAGACATCCCCATGACGAAGTAACACTCCATTATTCCACTAGAAACACAGACACAATTATGTTTCATCTACTGAAGACTATATGTTATTCCTCATTTCATCATTCAGTATTTTTTGTATCATTTTGTAAAGACTTCTTCACAATTTTCTGTGTTCGAACACAATCACATTTCCAACCACTATGCATACAACGTTGATTCTTTCGAGAAGAATTCCAACTTCCAATTTCATTCAATCAATCGTCGAAAAAATGCATTTGTTCAAACGGTCAGTTGACGACCACGATGCAATTTTACACCCATTCAATTTTCACCCTGTAGCAATTTTATCTGGAATAACAGAAGTTTTATATTGCCACAACAAACTGCCAAGAGATTGGGTTAATCATCGGTGAAAACCGATTTTCAATTGGAAAGGAAATCCGTGAGTTATTCTACTGTGAATTCAGGCTATATTTTGGATCACGACTTTATCAATGTTGACCAGTTTAGATGAGTAGAACAACCAGTATTTCTTCATATGATTATGAAAATCTGGCGAAACACTTCAATTCATATCGAGAGAAACAACTTTTGAGGTATTTGTTGTAACATTACATTTAACTTCTTCACCGTCAGGGCAACTACCCCTGAAATGACAACACCCAATTATTTTGCTATTCTTGAGATCCTCATATGTGATTCCAGAAGAGTAGGAAACAGGTGTACCAACCTCATCATTTTCATAATAAATTACAATCCATAATTTGAACTCTTGCTCACAGAACGTCTGTACAATATGTTTTCAACATCATGATAAATCACAATCCAAATATTCGTGAGATTGAATACTGCAATTATGAAACCGAAAAATTGAAATTAGGTGAAATTCATCACATTCACATTAGAATTGCAAAACTAGCAAAATAATTGGGAGTTGCCGTTTGAAATTTAATAAGTAGTTCCCTAACGGCGGAGGGGATGTATGGAATTTAACAACAAATACCTCGGAAGTTGTCCCCCTTGATATGTTGATTGACGTGATTCACGGTCACCCTGTATGTATAGCCCTAAGGCCAATCGCATACAGAAGTACTCGATAGACTATCAAACAACTCATGCCTTTGCTGATGAATTCAAAGGTTCAAGATACTAATCAATATGTTGTGATGAATGTTTGCCAGAAGGAAGCTTCAAAAGATCAACTTCTTCATAGCTCTAGAAACTATATTGTTTTTTCAATATTGAATATTCATGTGGCTCAAATTAGCTCAAATAGGACACCAAGAGACTAGGAAATCGTCAAAGGTATAACTGATATAGTATTTCCCACAACAGGTAGGTAGGTACTGAAAATGTTTGACTTCGAGAAGAACCATCAAATATCCATAGATTGCCTTCGTTACGTATTCAACAGCATCATGATTTATCATACGGCTACATTAATTCAACCATTCTATTACCCAGAAGAACCTATTTTCAAAGTTCATACGTACACATATTTCATCTTCACACAAGGAAGTGTAGAAGAAGAAAACGAAGAAGCTAGGGAAATCAAAATCATGCTCTACAATCTGATTTTGTAAGGAAATCATGCTATCAACGGCATCTCGAATACCTTTTTGAAATACCCGACAGAAAAAAATAATTATCACGGCTCATTCGTTCCTGAGACCGTCCCTGGTCTCCTGTAATTGTTTTCTCTATAATTCAGAGTCTGAGATGCTTCCTCAAGATTGACCGACGGTTTTGGTAGGGAAAATTGGTTTATGGCCCTTCTGAGGATTGGTTTAAAGGTCAATGGAATGCAAAATGCATTCTAGAGATTGCCAAATAGTCACATCCTGAAAAAAAGTTCGGTCTCCCCTCACATGACTCGGTCTATTGGAAAACAAATGTTCTAATAAAATCGAGGGAAAGTTCCACCTTCAATATTTTACTGAGGAGGGACAAAATTTTTTTTGAACTTTGGGAGATTATGTGTTGTTGGAAATACTTCCACAGGCAATGAATTCCAGAGCCTAGCCGTTCTATGGATGAAGGAGTCTTGATAAAGTGCTGTTCGACATCTTTCGAGGTTGACAACGAAAGGATGTGCTGACTGGGCTTGTCTAGTTCGTCTGATTGGTATTGCTAGTGAAGGGATGATAGCAGAGATCTCCGAAGAACATTTCCCGTGGAAGTATCGATAGAAAAGTGAAAGGTCGCCGACCTTTCTACGGTGTTCCAATGATGTCAAAGAGTGAGTGACTGTGGCGTCACTCACCAGGCGAATGGCTCTTCTCTGGATGGTATCTGAGAGCATCAGCGTATGTTTTGGTGCTGAACCCCATATGTGAGAACATTATTCTAGAACAGGCCGTATCTGCGCTTTGTAGATCATGAGAAGCTGTTGAGGTGTAAAGTAGCATTTCGCACGGAACAAGAATCCGAGTTTTTGTGAAGCAGCTTTTGCGAAGGATCTGACATGATTATCCCATGAAAGAGTGTTGCTGATGGAAATACCGAGCATAGATATGATGGGCTTGGTGGGGATGGTGGAGCCAGACATTACAATATCGGGCATACTGAGTTCTGCCTTTTTAGAGAAAATGCAGGCTTGACTTTTGGTGGCGTTGAATTCAACTAAGTTGTTTGTTCCCCAGGCTGTGATTTCAGCAAGATCTTCATTGACAGCATTGACCTGCCTGCGCCGTGAGTTCTCAGTTTCCTGGGAAGAAATGGGAATTCTGGAAGAGAACGCAGTATGGAGGGTACTATCATCTGCAAAGCTGTGGATGGGGCAAGTTGTTACTCCCAACAGATTATCGATATGGAGCAGGAATAATGTTGGTGCCAAAATTGATCCTTGTGGAACGCCGGAATTGATGCCAATTGTATCAGACGATACACCGTCCACCACCACGTGATGCGATCTGCCTGAAAAAAAACTCGATAAGAGATGGCATAGCTGAGGTGGTAAGCCGTATGATGGTAGTTTGTGGAGGAGTCCTTCGTGCCAAACACGGTCGAATGCTTTCGATATGTCCAACGCGACAGCTAGAGATTCCCCGTGTTTTTCTATTGAAGATTGCCATGAATGGGTGACGTAGGCAAGTAGATCTCCAGTAGATCTTCGGTGGGACTACTCCGCTACCTCAGAACCAGGAGAGAGGGGAGGGGGAGTAGGGAGCGTAGGGGGAGGAGGGGGAAGAGAAACAATATGAGAAATGTGCTTTCAATAAGGAAAAAATCCTAGTAGAGTTCGTTGTACATTTTAGACAAGGGGTTTTTCTGTTTCCTCGCACCGTCCCGCGACTCCCTCCCGCCTCCCAAGCACGTGCCAAGACTGGAACTAGAGAAGGGGGCGCTCGTCTCTCCCGAAGCAGCCCGCCAGAGTCGCGAACCGGAGTAGTCCGGAGTCCGGAGTCAGAACCAGCGCGTGATCCGGCGGAGGCGGCTCAGATTTTCCGGAGAGCTCGCGAGAGGCGGTCGCGGGTGATGTGATTCTAGCGCGTGGCGCAAACAATTGAGTGACTGACAGCGAGTTGACATGTTGGTACTAGTGGTGGCTGTGGCGGTGGTCACAGGGGGCGGGTGGTGTTTTGTCGATGGTGAGTAGTATCTGCTCGGATTTACCTGGTTTTTGACCGTGTATCCCAGACCCAGCAAGGTTCTTTCAACAGTATTTATGATCAATGTGGTATCATCAAGCAACGTCTCAGGGGTGGCATCAACATTCTTAGAGTGCTGAAACCATTCAATTACAACGTCTAGCATCGGTCGGACACAATGAAATACAAAATGCTCTCAGTATTCCTCAATTATGGATTTTGTTGTAAAACTGTTTATTATATACATTATGTGCGCTCTCATTATGACATAGAGCCCTTCACAATATCCTGACCTTTGACTAGTGCTTTGCACAACTTTTAATCAATCTCTACCTTATTTTGCTTATGTGAAGAAGGCCTCCGCGTGTTTAATTCCAACACACAGCAACAAGATTCAGATTTCTGATCACCCTGTATCTGTTCCAATTGAATATCAGTAAATAGTAAATCAAAAATTGAGATGGGGACATGTGAGTCGTTTCGGCCGATAATGAATAGTTTCGACACAAACAAATCCTAAAGTTGAAAAATCTCGATTTTGAACACCCTATATCTCTGTAATAATTTCCGATGGACCCCAAGTGTGATATTCAAATGGAATCAGCTCACCAGGAAAAATTCTGAAATGCAATAAAATACAGGGTATTATCTTTGAAATAACAAACTGGTTGCTACGTTTTGATAGAAACGGCAACACTACATTGCTGAAAATATTTCAAATGGAGAGAGCGTATTCTAAAATATGAGCATGCATATCTTCATGAGTTTTCCCCGACTCATTCTCGATATAGAGATAGTGTGAGCTGGTCGTGCCATACCCTGGTATAGTAAGATCAGCCCTGTATGAGCACTCAATTCATTGTTTCGGTGAAAAATAACTATGAAATCCACTGGAGGTACTGGTCTTTATTTTGGCATACAAAATACGAGAAAAACTACAGCTCAAACCGTTAGGATCTCATATATTTTACCTTCAGGTGTCTCCAATAAGTGTATGATCGAGTCTCATCTGGTCTGAGTCTGATCAGGTCTTATTATGGTACCTAATAACGGCATATAGTCACTTAAGTGATACGTGAGAACTTCTATTAGGATATATGAAGGGAAGGCGCGAATGAAATGGCCTATACTCATGAAAAGTATAAATATGGCACTTCTTCGCACATTATAAGCTTGCTTAGGTGACATCTCCTTCTTTGTATCCCCAGCTACTATAATATTATGTTTGTAACTGATATCAGGTCAATGCTATAATTTTACACACATTTCCTATTGTGCTCTTGTTGCTCTTTCATATTAACTGTAATATTAACTAAAACTCAATTTGCCATTTTCAGGAGCAACAATTTGTTTATTGTTACATACTTGGACAGTTTATACTCGTCAACAATGATTATATCCTCACAATTAATTTTATTTATCATCTCAATTTCGGAACCTAGTAAAAATAAAGATAGTAGGTATATTCTCATTTGATTGTGGATATTGTGTCCAATATCAATTCGTGAAGAAGAAGGAGACAATCAGCAAATTGGTAATTAACTTGTTATAAGCTGATGTCATATTCAACTTTCAGCATGAACTCAACATATTGACCCTTCATGACAATAATTATGAACAATGAATCGATTTCTTCATGGTAATCTCAATAAATTATTAGTATGATTATTTTTTTTAGTGCATATCAGTGCATATCAGTTCAGTCAAAATATTGTGATAAATTGTGTTTACCAGATGATGGAGATGGATGAACCTCCGAATATTTTGATGAGAGTGAAATTTTCATGATACAGGTTCTCGATCTATTTTAAAAAAATCGGTTTTTCGTTGATTCGATTATGAACAAATCTGCAACTCATAAATACAGAAACACACTGCAAAATTTAAAGAAATTTAGGTGGAGAATTGTGATTATATTAACGAAAACCCCATTCTTCAAAAGGAGCTTGATACCCTGCATCTTGGAATCTATGCATTTCAGTACCAAAGTATTTTTATGAACTTTTCGTCTTAGAATTACCAAAATATTAGTCTCTTGAAGTTTGGCAACATACTTAAACAACACCCAGTATAATAGCGAAAAGACAAATCGAAGGTAAAATCTCATAAATATCTTACGATCATTGTCACGTGATATGTTCATTATTATCTGAAAGCAATATAATAATGGTGAACATTTAGTAATTGTAATAGCCATTATGAAATGAGTCTATACGCTTACTGATCTATCGAGAACGAAATCATGATGCATAAATATGATAGGGCATATATAATACAAAGCTTAATACATATTTCATTGTATCCTATATTATTGTTGGTTGATCAATAAGACGGTTGGACAAACCTATATACATCTATCAAATATTCAAAGGTATCCAAGATTTCTTCAGTACCGACATTTTTATTCTCGATTTGATCACAGTTATTCGAATAATCTTCTCAATTGTCACTGAGGAGTGAAAAAGTTGGGAAAGGAAATTTCAATCGCAACAATGACATTTTATTCGTCCCCAAAACAGCCAATGGTAAGGGAGATTTCAAATATGTAAAGGGTTCTAAAAGAAAACCAGTTGCTCAAAGTCGGTCTACCACATTTTATATAAAACAATGTGGATTTTTTTTTACAAAATCCAAAGAAGTTTCCACAGAAACATATTTTTTTCAAATGGAACCCCTATGGGACACATACATGTCTTTGAACATATTAAGAAACCAAATGACATATCATGTTTGTATTCCGGTGCAATAACAAATTGTATACTTACTTTCAAAAATCAACAACTAGTTCATGGATTGCCTTGCAGTTTCACATGAATTGAATTTTTTCGAAAATATGACATTTGACATAACGATTGCACTTGTTTTGACTTGGTGAGCTTGAAAATTAGAAAATATACAAGGTGCTCAATTAACAATACAAAGTTGCTAGCATTTTCAGAGAAACTGCATGTCCGCCATATTAGATTGTAATGTGATCAAATCCGTACCAAACTTCAAAATAATCCGTTTACCAATGCAGAAGTTATACAGGGATGACCCCATACCTGGTATACATATATATTATTTTGATCAAACAAATCCACAGATTTCGAAATAAATATATGAAAGAACAGGGTGTTCCATTTGAGAAAATGTATTGCTGGTTTGTCACGCTTCCAGGGATCACCATGTAAAACTATTGAGTAGGTAGGGCAGTTAAAAAGCCTAATTGCGGCATTCAACATATTGTTTTTTTTTTTCTTGATCAGAAAATAACGTTGATAAAGTGATGAGCATTTTCGATTCACAAACTGTTTATATATATATACTCGATCTATTCCTTTCCAAGACGAAACGAAATGAAATGGGAGGTTATTGAGTTATTACTTTCTCAATTCTCCCGAAGCTCGTACCCATCAAGACAAAATCCGTATGTTATTATGATTGATAGCAAGTATAACGCGGTAAAACATCATTTCACGTTTGGAAACTTCGGTGATTTCGATATATTATGGATTGTTGGGAACCGAACCTGTCAATATTCCACATGTCTTGGATTTCTGACAAATCCCTCGGATTACGCTCGGGATTATTCCACTGGATAGGATCCACGATATTATGTTTCACCCTTCTCGAAATTGTTTCTCCCGTTTCATTCGGTTGGGATACGTGATGGAAACGATATGTCTGTACGATCAGCACAACCAACTTGCTCAGAAGAAGGTTCAAGGCCGGTTGCGTATAGCTTTAGAGATACTTTTATAGTATATTATGTAACAAATCGATTTTTGAAGAAAGGTTGCATCATTTTTAATATGAGTAGGACCTGTACCAAAAATTATATGAAATCAATTTGGATTATTTTTAACTGATAACTTACCAGCCCTGTACTTTGATACTCTGGATCTGGACTGTGAAATGCATGGCTATTTTTTTTGTTCAATTGATTCAGCTGTTACTTGATGAAAATCTATGACAAATGTCAAAATGTTCACGAACTATAAGATTTCCACAAAAACTCCCAATCACAAGACATGATTCGCTAACACAGTATCTTCATCAGGTGAAATACTGATACAATGAATATATAATAATTCGGTCCTGCATATTGGTCAATTTAGATGAAGATTCTTCACATAGTAAGAATTTGATTCAGCCAGATATTTCGATACAAAGAAGTACTGCACCTCAATAATAACATCCCACCCTTGATAACTCTCAAAATGAAGATTTCCAGGAGAACCATGAGGAATTCAACTCGTATCTCGAAGATACTGGGTTTGAAATCATTTCCCAAGACTAAGGAGGTATAGGTTTTTTATTCTCATACGTTTTTAGAAGTAAAAATATTTCAGCACCAAGTGTGAATTCATATCTTCATCACAGCCTGTAGTACAATGAATCTTACATAAAATCACTCAAGGCAATGTATATATTTGATGAAGAGTATCGTGAAAGATACCTGGAATATTCTACTTTGTTTTATCACACTTTTGACCAGGACCATGTCCTGACGTAGGCTCCTGAAAGATACAGGTCATATCGAGGAAAAATAATTGTCTGGAACCTGCCTTCCTCAATTGCATATATTTTCGAAGGAATGCTGCATACTTTATTGCAATATGACGCAGTTTGCAGAACTCGAACATTCTTCAATACTTTTCACAGTTATGTGTTGACTTCGATGAAAAGAAAACTGTCAGCAAGTTGATCTCCCATTGTTACTAATGTAATGTTGTTCTTCTATAATAAATCAACTTGTTGGCCATTTTTGATTTGCAGCTTCTTCTTGGGGTTTGGATTCGGTTTCATAAAGAATTTCAAGGGGTTATGAAACCCAATCCAAACCCCAAGAAGAAGCTGCAAATCAAAAACATAACAGGATTCAAGAAAATCCCTCAACAAACTTGTTGACCATGTTCTGTTCTCTGAAGTGATGTTTAATGCAGCAGCTACTTGTGTGCGACATCTAGGTTACATAATACGAACTTCAAACTGAGGGAAAACAAACTGTTGTCTAT